GGGACTAGAGCCCGACCGATATATCGGTTGGCTGATATTATCGGCCGATATGGGCACCTGGAGACATATTGACCATCGGCCTAAATCTTACAAATATCCCCCCTGGGCAGGTTCTACGTCCTTTTATTTTATTCATTTTATTTATTTAACCAGGAAAAAGTCTCTTTGAGATAAAAAAAAAAATCTCTTTTTCGAGAGGAAAAACTACAGTTTCAAAAAAACAAACAAACAAATAAAAAACAAAAAACAAACAAACAAATAAAACAAACAAATAAAACAAACAAACAAAACAAACAAATAAAACAAACAAAACAAACAAACAAAACAAACAAACAAAACAAACAAATAAAACAAACAAATAAAACAAACAAACAAAACAAACAAATAAAACAAACAAATAAAACAAACAAATAAAACAAACACATTCAGTCTTATAATGTACGAGTCTTTACATTCTGTTGATTTAATCCAGTTACAGACAAATGTCCTGCTCCTGTCAGGACATCATCTCATCAGTGTCTTGCTCGTGGGTTGAGGGTTTGATCAGTGTCTTGCTCGTGGTTGAGGGTTTGATCAGTGTCTTGTCTGGGTTGGGTTGATCAGTGTCTTGCTCGTTTGATTTGATCAGTGTCTTGCTCGTGGGCTGAGGTTTGATCAGTGTCTTGCTCGTGGGTGTGGGTTTGATCAGTGTCTTGCTCGTGGGAGGGTTGATCAGTGTCTTGCTCAGGGTTTGATCAGTGTTGCTCGTGGGTTGAGGGTTTGAATCAGTGTCTTGCTCGTGGGTTGAGGGTTTGATCAGTGTCTTGCTCGTGGGTTGAGGGTTTGATCAGTGTCTTGCTCGTGGGTTGAGGGGTTGATCATGTCTTGCTCGTCGTGTTTGCTCTTGTCTTGTCTCTGCTCGTGGGTTGGGTTTGATCAGTGTCTTGCTCGTGGGTGAGGTTTGATCAGTGTCTTGCTCGTGGGCTGAGGGTTTGATCAGTGTCTTGCTCGTGGTGTGGGTTTGATCAGTGTCTTGCTCGTGGGTGAGGGTTTGATCAGTGTCTTGCTCTGGGCGTGTGTCTTGCTCGTTTGAGGGTTTGATCAGTGTCTTGATCAGTGTTGCTCTTTGATCAGTGTCTTGCTCGTGGGTGAGGGTTGATCAGTGTCTTGCTCGTGGGTTGAGGGTTTGATCAGTGTCTTGCTCGTGGGTTGAGGGTTTGATCAGTGTCTTGCTCGTGGGTTGAGGGTTTGATCAGTGTCTTGCTCGTGGGTTGAGGGTTTGATCAGTGTCTTGCTCGTGGGTTGAGGGTTTGATCAGTGTCTTGCTCTTGGGTTGAGGGTTTGATCAGTGTCTTGCTCGTGGGTTGCAGGGCAGTAAGTATCACTGGCAGACGGCGAACGTGAAGGTGAGCGGCGTGGACGACATGGTTCTACTGTCCAAGATCAACGAAGACGCCATCACCGAAAACCTGCGCAAGAGATACAACGATGACTACATCTTTGTATCCTCCACCTGGACCCGGTTTAGTCCTGGTTTAGTCCTGGTTTAGTCCTGGTCTAGTTCTGGTTTAGTTCTGGTTTAGTTCTGGTCTAGTTCTGGTCTAGTCCTGGTTTAGTCCTGGTCTAGTTCTGGTTTAGTCCTGTTTAGTCCTGTTTAGTCCTGGTTTAGTCCTGGTCTAGTCCTGGTCTAGTTCTGGTTTAGTTCTGGTTTAGTTCTGGTCTAGTTCTGGTCTAGTCCTGGTTTAGTCCTGGTCTAGTCCTGGTCTAGTCTGGTTTAGTTCTGGTCTAGTCTGGTCTAGTCCTGGTTTAGCCCTGGTTTAGTTCTGGTCTAGTTCTGGTCTAGTCCTGGTTTTAGTCCTGGTCTAGTCCTGGTCTAGTCTGTTAGTCCTGGTTTAGTCCTGGTTTAGTTCTGGTTTAGTCCTGGTTAGTCCTGGTTTAGTCTGGTCTATCCTGGTCTAGTCCTGGTCTAGTCCTGGTTTAGTCCTGGTTTAGTTCTGTCTGTCCTAGTCCTGGTTTAGTCCTGGTTTAGTCCTGGTTTAGTTTCTGGTTTAGTCCTGGTCTAGTCCTGGTCTAGTCCTGGTTTAGTCCTTGACCCGTTCAGACCTACATCGGTCCGGTTCTGATCTCGGTGAACCCGTTCAAGCAGCTGCCGTATTTCACGGACAGAGAAGTGGAGCTGTACCAGGGAGCGGTGAGTCCAAGACTGGTTATGATCCTGCTCTAGACCTGCTCAGACCCCGCAGACTCTGTAGTCTGGTTATAATCCTGCTCTGGTCCAGGCCCAGTACGAGAACCCTCCTCACATCTTCGCTCTGGCCGACCTCATGTTCAGGAACATGATGATCGACTCCGAGAACCAGTGTGTGATCATCAGGTGAGTCCAGACCCGGTCCCGGACCAGGACCAGGACACAGACCCAGACTCAGTTCAGACCTGATTTATTCCTGGTTTAGACCTGGTTTAGACCTGGTCTGGGTCCTGGTTTAGACCTGGTCTGGGTCCTGGTTTAGTCCTGATCCTGGTCTTGTTTTGCAGTGGGGAAAGTGGCGCGGGGAAAACGGTGGCGGCGAAGTTCATCATGAGTTACATTTCCAAAGTTTCCGGAGGAGGAGCCAAGGTCCAGGTCAGAGCTGCTCGCCTCTTCACGGATCTGACCCGTAACACGCTCACGTTTACTGCAGTGTAACAGCGTCTCCACGGAAACCAGCCGGTCCCAGGAAAGTCCCACAGTGCAGCTTTTAAAACTCCACCTCCTGAGCACAGAAACTGAAACCTCTTCAAGTCCAGGTCCCGGTCTAGACCCTGTAGTCCGGTAGGTCTCCGGTCCGGTTATGATCTCGGTCTAGACCCTGTAGTCCGGGTTATGATCTCGGTCTAGACCCTGTAGTCCGGTTATGATCTCCGGTCTAGACCCTAGACCCTGTAGTCCGGTTATGATCCCGGTCTAGACCCTGTAGTTTGGTTCAGATCCTGGTTCAGATCGTCTAAACCCGGTCTAAACCCGGTCTAAACCCGGTCTAAACCCGGTCTAAACCCGGTCTAAACCCGGTCTAAACCCAGTCTAAACCTGGTCTTGTGTCCTCAGAGGGTCAAGGACATCATCCTGCAGTCGAATCCTCTGCTCGAGGCTTTTGGAAACGCCAAGACCGTCCGGAACAACAACTCCAGCCGCTTCGTCAGTGCCTCCTCCTCATCCTCCTCATCCTCCTCATCCTCCTCATCCTCCTCTTCATCCTCCTCATCCTCCTCATCCTCCTCATCCTCCTCATCCTCATCCTCCTCTTCCATCCTCTTCATCCTCCTCATCCTCCTCTTCATCCTCTTCATCACTTTACTTCCCTTAATTTTCTCATCTTCTTGTCTCCTCACTTGTCTCCTTGTTTCCTCACTTGTGTCCTTGTCTCCTCACTTGTCTCCTCGTGTCCTCACTTGTGTCCTTGTGTCTCCTCACTTGTCTCCTTGTTTCCTCACTTGTCTCCTGTGTCCTCACTTGTCTCCTTGTTTCCTCACTTTGTCTCCTGTGTCCTCACTTGTCTCCTTGTTTCCTCACTTGTCTCCTTGTTCTCCTTGTCCTCACTTGTCTTGTGTCCTTGTCTCCTCACTTGTCTCCTGTGTCCTCACTTGTTTCTCCTTGTTTCCTCACTTGTCTCCTCCTTGTCTCCTGTGTCCTCACTTGTCTCCTTGTTTCCTCACTTGTCTCCTGTGTCCTCACTTGTCTCCTTGTTTCCTCACTTGTCTCCTGTGTCCTCACTTGTCTCCTTGTTTCCTCACTTGTCTCCTGTGTCCTCACTTGTCTCCTTGTTTTCCTCACTTGTCTCCTGTGTCCTCACTTGTGTCTCCTTGTTTCCTCACTTGTCTCCTGTGTCCTCACTTGTCTCCTTGTTTCCTCACTTGTCTCCTTGTCTCCTTGTCTCTCTGTGTCCTCACTTGTCTCCTTGTTTTCCTCACTTGTCTCCTGTCTCCTCCAGGGGAAGTATGTGGAGATCCAGTTCTGTGGGGGCGGGGCTCCAGACGGAGGAAAAATCTCAAACTTTCTTCTGGAGAAAAGTCGAGTCGTTTCACAAAACGCAGGAGAAAGAAACTTCCACATTTACTACCAGGTACTACAAGTACTACCAGTACTACAAGTACTACCAGTACTACAAGTACTACAGTACTACAGTACTACAAGTACTACAAGTACTACTACAGGTACTACCAGTACTACAAGTACTACAGGTACTACCAGTACTACAAGTACTACAGGTACTACCAGTACTACAAGTACTACAGTACTACCAGTACTACAAGTACTACAGGTACTACCAGTACTACAAGTACTACAAGTACTACCAGTACTACCATAAATACTACAAATACTATGAGTACTACAGGTACTACCAGGTACTACAAGTACTACCAGTACTACGAGTACCACAGGTACTACCAGTACTACCAGTACCATAGATACTACAAATACTATGAGTACTACATGTACTGCAGGTACTGTGAGTACTATGAGTTCTACAAGTACTGGTAGTAATACCATCAAGTACTACTACTTTTGCTACTTTTAAACATTAACTAATAAAGAAAATCACCCGACTAAACCAGGACCGGACCAGGACTAGGACTGGGACCCGGTCTGAACCCGGTCTGAACCCGGTCTGAACCCGGTCTGAACCCGGTCTGAACCCGGTCTGAACCTGGTCTTGCTCATCAGATCCTGGAGGGGGCGAGCTCGGAGCAGAGGGAGAATCTGGGCGTGACCACACCGGATTATTATTTCTACCTCAACCAATCAGGGACCTACACCGTGGACGACGTCAGCGACAAGAAGGACTTCGCCGAAACCATGGTAACGCACGCAACCTCTGACCCTGTGACCCTCTGACCATGTGACCCTGTGACCCTCTGCCCATGTGACCATGTGACCCTCTGACCATGTGACCCTGTAGTCTGGTTGTGATCCTGGTTGAACTTCTCAGGAGGCCATGGCGGTGGTGGGTTTGTCTGTGGAGGAGCAGGACTCGGTTCTTCAGATCGTGGCTTCGATTCTTCACCTCGGAAACATCAGCTTCAGAGAAGAAAACAACTACGCCTCCATCGAGAGTCAGGACTGTGAGTGAACCAGGACTAAACCAGGACTAAACCAGGACTAAACCAGGACTGAACCAGGAACCAGGACTAAACCAGGACTGAACCAGGACTAAACCAGGAACCAGGACTAAACCAGGACTAAACCAGGACTGAACCAGGACTGAACCAGGACTAAACCAGG